GTCCTTTGGAAGAATAGTCAGTGCTCTTTACTGCTGAGCTATTTCTCCAGCTCCCTCTCAGTGACATTTTCAAAAACAGAAGACTCATATTGCAAAATTCAGTATGAAAGAGGGGACATTATTATTGAAGGCCTTTAAAGAAATAGAAAGATCCTAAGTAAATACTGTCAACAGTTGTATGTGTATAGAATAGATAATTTAGATGAACAATTACAACAAAGAAATAAACCACTGAAACTCTGAATAGACTTTTAGTAAGATCCCTCTTTAGTAAACAAAGATCCCTCTGCAGTGAAAAGCTCATTGCATGGCTGTACTTGTGAAGTATATCATAGATGTAAAAATAATGGAAGAGAGACACTTCTCAGATTCTCTGTGGGAACACTATTAACCTGATATCAAGAGAGATGTCACAAGAATACTAATATTCTTTATGAATAGACTGTATTAAAACAACCAAAGATAATCTACAGACTCAGTGCAATTCTATCAAAATCCCAACACAATTCTTCACAGACCTTGAAAGAACAGCATTTCAACTTCATATGGAAAAACAAAAAAACCGAAAGTAGCTAAAACAATCCTGTACAATAAAGGAGCTTCTGGAGGCATCACAATCCCTGACTTCAAACTCTACTATAGAACTATAGCAATAAAAACAGCTTGATATTGACATAAAAACATACACAATGACCAAAATCAGATCCAAGACCCTGAAATTAGTCCACACACCCAAGAACACCTGATTTTTGACAAGGAAACCAAAATGATACAATGGTAAAAAGAAAGCATCTTTAATGAATGGTGCTGGCATAACTGGATGTCAACATCTACATGCAAATAGATCCATATCTATCACCATGCACAAAACCCAAGTCAAAGTGGATTAAGGACCTCAACATGAATCTAGCTACATTGAACCTGATAGAAGAGAAAGTTCAAAGTAGCCTGGAATGCATTGGTACAGGAGACTGCTTCCTAATACAACACCAAGTATCACAGACACTGAGAGCAACAATCAATAAATAGGACCTGCTGAAACTGAAAGGCTTATGTAAGCCAAAGCATATTGTAAATGAGGCAAAAAGACAGCCTGCAGAATGGGAAAAAATCTTCACCAACCTCACATCTGACATAGGACTGATCTCCAAAATACATAAAGAACTCAAGAAACTAGACACCAAAATACCAAAGAACCCAACTTGAAAAATGGGGTACAGATATAAACAGAGAATTCTCATCAGAAAAAACCCAAATGACCAAAAGACATTTAAAGAATTGCTCAAAACCTTTAATCATCATGGAAACATAAATCAAAAAGACTCTTGAGATACCATCTTACACCTGCCAGAATGGCTAAGATCAAAAATACCTAGGACAGCTTATGTTGAAGAGGATGTGGAGTCAGGAACACTCCTCCACTGCTGCTTTGAGTGTAAACTTGTACATCCACTTTGGAAGTCAGTATAGTGGTTTCTCAGAAAATTGGGAATCAATCTACCTCAAGACCCAGCAATACCACTCTTAGGCATATATCCAAAGGATGCACACTAATACCACAAGGGTAGTTGCTCAGCAATGTTCATATCAGCATTATTTGTAATAGCCAGAACCTGGAAACAACTTAGATGCCCTTTAAGTGAAGAATAGATAAAGAAAATGTGGTACATTTACATAATGGAGGATTACTCAGCTATAAGAAACAATGACATCATGAAATTTGCAGGCAAATGTGTTGACAAGATTTATCTGTAGTGTTCAAGGCTGTTGGATAGTCTTTTCCTTGTAGTAGAATGTCCTTCAGCATAAGAGTTAAGTTTATCAATTCCTATGTCCCAGCTTTGTTAACTTGACAGTTCAGAGTCACCTGAGAAGAAACCTCAATTGAGAAATTGCCTAGAACAAATTGGCTTGTGGCCATATCTGTGTGGGGTCATCTTTTGGTGCAGGAAGGCAATCCCACTGTGGGCAGTACCATCTTAGCCAGGTTGTCCTGTGCAAGATGGTGAAATGGCCTGTAAGCAAGCCAAGAGAGGAAGCCAGTAGGCAGGGTCCCTCCACAGTTTCTGCTTTAGGTTCTGCCCTGATTTCCCTCAGTTATGGACTATGAATTGAAAGTACAAATAAAACAAATATTTCCTTTTGTAAATTGCTTCTTGTCAGAGTGTTTTTATCACACCAGTAGGGTGAAACTGGAATGCCCTGTCATTGACTGTATATGATACTCCAGTCTGGATGTTTGTTGTCATTTCAGTAATGTTATAGCATCTCTGCCAGAAGAAGTGGGCTTTGTCTTCAGAATCCATATTCTTTTGAGACACAAATAAGATAAACTCTTGTTTGCACGATTTTGTTCTGATTTTAACAGGACAAAACAAATCAGCCCTGTCTTTTTGGCTCTATTTGTAATTCATTTCTGTTGAGTTTTCTGTCACATCATTGAAATCTTAAACCCCCTAGAGTCCACTTCCAAACTCACATTAACTTTGACTCTGTAATTACAATGGAGAGGAGAACAAAGACCTGATAACAGCCACACACATAGCTAAGGAATATAATCAGTATACTAGGACCAGCTAATGGGGAGCAGGTATTTACAACTAGCTAGGGACTGTAATCAGTAAAACTCCAAATGCATGGGAGAAATTGTTCCCAGTAAATGATCAGATGGTACTGAACTGTGGGAAGTAAATCCTAAGTTTGTTACAAAAAGGAATAAGCTACAGGAAGAATCTACAGCAAGAAACAGCCAATTCATTCACCAGATTATAATGCCAGGTACAGCTTTGTACTGGTTTCATCCATCAGGAGACTCCTTAATTCTTCTGAGTTATCTAATGATAGATGGCTGTATAAGTACTTGTGGCTTGTAGCACTTTGAGCTTTTTCTTTAAAATCTCATGGATTATTAATTGTCCTAATGGTGAAGCCTTTCCATAAGGTTCCCACCTTACTTTGCCCAAATCCACCAGTGACTCATTATTTTATTTCATATTTCTCCTTGAATTTATAGTTTCAGTCTGATTTTTCTGTAAAAGTTTACTCATGTTAGGTTTTTGTACTTAGAATTTTTTCTGGACCATAACCCTTATTTGTAAGAAAAATTACAAATTGAAATGAAATAGGTTATCACATGTTAAAAATATTTTAGGATGATTTATACTTGGTAATAATTAACAATTTATTAGATGCAAAATAATCTTCAAATTAAAAAAAGAATTTAAATTTATCAGACATGTTAAAATATTGTGTGTGGTTAGTGATTATACTGAGTCTTTAAATTTTTTTGTTAAAAGCAAAGGCTTTTAAAAGACATAATTGCTTCATGATTATTCATTGTTTTTCTTATGTTCTTGGAACATAAAAAGGCCTTGCCAATTCATATTGAAATGCTTTGATCATACCCCTGAGGAACCTTGGTTGACCTAAGAAAGGATTATGAAAATTGAATTTTTGTCATTTTTGGCACACCATTGCAATGCACATTTTAAAATTAAAGTTCCTTCCTGTGCTTTAAATAAAAAAAAAATCATGAAAACTTCAGAAATGCAGACTTAATTCATTGGAAATAACTACTGAATAAATTGATTGGCAAGGCTTGTTCTTAGTGTCAAGCTATTCAGCCTTTCATATAAAATTCGTGCCTACTTGCTGATGGAAGAGGCAAGAGTTTTGACAAACAGTTTTAGCATTTCCACTCTAAATATTTAGATAGCCTGGGTGGGATGAGCCTTCTAGAGTAGAACACAGGGAAAGGTGCGCGACAATTACTCAGAAGAAGGGGTGAGTCCTAGAAGCTGGGGTTCTGTGTATGTGTTGCTGTCAAACTCTCAGTGAAAGACTTGTACTCTTTATCTTTGGGAACACCTGCTTGAGTCGTTTTGACAGCTGTGGTTCAGATCACACCTCTGCCATTTATGAGGCAATACAATAGTTCTGGAAAGCATACCTGTAAAACTGTTGTGTCCAGACATACTAGTGTTACTGTACCTTTGTTCACTTGTGTTGCATACTGCCAGAAATGCTCTATACCTTTCAGTGGTCTGCATCCCTCTCCTGCATGTGCCAGCGTGCTTTTGGTTCTTCAGTGTCTTGTCAAGATTTTTTCCTCAAGTGAGCAGCTTTGAAAGATGAAGTGACTTTGGAGCCATACTGAGGTTTTGCTTATTGCATTGGAAGATGGAGGTGATGCCCTGAAAGGGGCAGATATTCTTTGTGCATTTTCAGAGATCCCCATTCCTTAGACTCAGAGGCTCACCGTAAAAGGAAGCCCCCCCTGCATGTACAAATGTCATTTGCCCCAGTCAGCTTGTGTGAACTGCAGCTCAGGCAGCTGGTTCAACATAGTGTTAACATTCGGGCTCCTCTTGTTACTGTAAGCATGAATTCCTGTTTATCTTACTTGGAAGTCATTTCCTCTGCTGATAAGATGGTCTGTTAACATCAAAGTGAATAAATCTGAGGCCCTTCAATGTACTTAGATGTAAGGAAATACAAACATTAATTCGGCTCAGATATGGCATTTTAATCTGTGTTTTAAATTTAAAACCATATTATGTATCACCTGTATAAATGCAATATCATTTTTTAGATTGTTGTGTAGGTTAAAATAAAGGTTTAACATAACTTTATGATTCAGACATTTTAAAGGCATAATAAGCCATGTGTCTTTGTTATGTTAAAATTATATTAACACACACACACACACACACACACACACACACACACACACGCCACACATTCAAAAGCAAATCAGTTACTAACTCTACTTACCCAATTTTTTTTCTCCAAGACAGGGCTTTTCTGTGTAGCTTTGGAGCCTATCCTGGCACTCGCTCTGGAGACCAGGCTGGCCTCGAACTCACAGAGATCCACCTGTCTCTGCCTCCTGAGTGCTGGGATTAAAGGTGTGCGCCACCAACGCCCAGCTACTTACCCAAATTTTAAAGAATTAGTCTTAATTCTATAATGTCATTATGATATATTTTCCTTTATTCTAGAATATTGGGAAGAAGATGACCTGTCAGGAGTTCATTACAAATCTCCAAGGAGTAAATGAAGGTGTGGATTTCTCCAAGGATCTTCTGAAAGTAAGCACAGATTGTTGGTTTTCAAACAGATTTATGTTTATATTTACTGCTAATTTAAGCCAATGATTGCTTAGTTTGGGGTTTTATTTGTGGTGTTTCTATTGAGCCTTGATTTTGTTGCTTTAGATTACAAAGTTTCCTAAGGCAATAATTTCAAACAATCTGTATCATGGCAGGTAATGCAGAGAGAATAAGAAGATGTTGACTAGTTGGTGATGCCTCTAGTTAGTGAGTGGTTTTTGACGTACAGGGGTAGAGTTATTTTAGAAACAAGCATTTGCAGACTTCTGGAGGCATGTATGACAGTGTTTGTTACCAACCACAGGGACACTTATCTGCCTTTCAAAAGAGATTAAATCCCAAGTGGTGTGAAGTGATTGAATTATTTGTAATTGGCATTATTATTGTAACATTCATCATGTTTTCATCTGGTTGTTTTCAAGGAGACAGAATCAACTTTGACATCCATAAATTTTCCAGCATGATAAAAAGATGTACTTGATAAAATATGAAATCATAATTGCTGTGGAATATGAATATTTTAGAAGTATGGTATAAGATGTGTATGTTGAGAATGTGAGTTTTACAGATCTCTGTTCAATCCTGGTCTTTCCTTTAAATCTTGGTACACACAGCTTTCTTTTGGAATCAGTCACTTTGGAAGAATTTCCTAAGAATGATAGCACATTTGAATCATGCTGTGAGATGGAAATGTGCTTGTTGAGAGAGGTGCCCATCCTTCATTATAGTTTATGTAACATTTAGTCTATTTATATGGTGCATGCATAGCTAGGGCTGTACTTAAAAGCCACATCTCTAGTCCTGTGTAACTTATCAAGAAAGGGTGGACTTCTGCCAGATTTGAAGAGACATACTATGGAAAATTAAAGAAGGCATTAAATATAGTACTATCAGACTCCAGAATATAGTGATTTTAATACAACTGATTTTAAAAGTTATGTTGTTAAAAATACCGTTTTTCTTGCAGTTTTTGATTTACTATATAACAAGATTTTTTAAAGTTAAAATATAATCGCAATCTTTTCCCCTTCTTTCCAGTTCCTTCCAAGTACTTCCACCCTCCTTTGCTCTCCCTCCACATCAGGGCCTCTTCTTCTTTAATTGTTATTCTTATATGAATACAACTGGCTCATTTCAATTTGTGCTACTTGTGTGTATGTGATTTGGATGTTTTAGGGCTGGTCACTTGTTACTTGATAACCAATTATAGACTCATTCCTGGGGAAGACTATTTCTCCCAGGCTCAACTACTCTTTAGTTATCTGCAGTTCTTTTTCTATGGATGTGGTCCTGTGAGATTTTTGCTTACCATGTAACTATACCTAAAGAAGTCAGACAAGATGTTTTTTAAGGCTGCTTCCATATTGAGTAGATGCTGTCATTTCTAAGGGTGCAATTTCAAATGAGAATGGGAAATAGAGGATACAGAACTGTGACATACGCAGTGTGTTGTACACATTCTATTAAAGCTAAGGTGTTAAATGTTAAATCTTTTTGTTTTTGTTTCTTTGTGTGTGTGTGTGTGTGTGTGTGTGTGTGTGTGTTGTTGGGTGGTAGTATTAGAGAAGAAAATGATAGTCTTTCCAAAAGAGGGCTTGTGAAGCTTTTTATCAACTACATGAGAAAGGGAAATTGACAGGAAAATATCTAGCTATTTAGATATTAATCAAAAAGCATTTAGATATTAGTAGTAAGCATATGGCTGCCTCCATGGCTGCAGGTATGTTGTTGGGTAGACTATAGCATTTTTGATGGAGCTGTCTAGAATCAAGCTTGGATAGTGTACAGTGCAGTGGCTGCTGTCCATGTTGGCTAACCATACTGTTCTTGATGTACTCTACAAGCATTGGCCTGATGATTTGTGAAGTCCTGCAGTTATAATCATTGCTATGAACCTCGGGGGAGGGACTCTTATTTGGTGTTTGTTATTTACTATTGAAAGAACCCAGTGACTGGAGATAATAGTGGCATTTATTGTGGCAACTGTCATGTCAAATACGAATTTCCTTTCAGAGTATCCCTCTGTCACTCACCCATTAAGGTACCATTTCTGTTTTTGTGTAATAGGAATGGTGTTTACAGTTAAGGAAAGGTTTTCTTAAAAGCAGTGTTACTTTATTTCATTGTTGTGTTCAAACTTTTCCCTAACTTCTCCTCCTCTGCTTTCTTGACTCCCTTCTTCCTTCTGCTTTAGATTTAAAATTCTTTGATATTCTGTTTTTTTTTAGCTATCTTTTAATTTTGGAGAAAGCTTCAATTATATGTATAACATACAGATAAACACAAAGATGTATGTTAGCATCTCACAACTTCTGAGTAACTCTTTTTTATCTGCCTTCACCCTATTTCCAACCTGTAATGACAGGCATTGCCATTACTGGCATAGTATAATAAAATGACAGGCAGTAATGACATTTGAAGATTTTAAAAAAGTGTGGTAAAAGTGAAAATAAGACTTTGAATACATTTCTTGCAAAATTATAAGTCACTGTATTAATGGTCAGAAATACTTACGTCTACTTTATTGAACTTGGTATCATGTTCTTTTACATTGGCCTTAATTGTTTTTAAATCTTTGTGGCTCAGAAGTTAAATTTAGAATTTTATTTCTTCAAATTTCTTTGGACCAGAAGTAACATTTCTACCTATATCTGATTATGTGTGGTTGCCTAGTTGGAGATACTTTTTAAAGGTTCAACACTCAGAGAAGATTCTGGAAGCAAATGTACACATGCCCTCAGAGATCACAAACCACTGAGAAACAAGGAGGACTTACTTTGATTTGAGCACTTCTCCAATATTGGAATGGAAGTGGATAGTCTATTCTGCTTTATCTGAACAGACCTAAGAAAACCACACTGTTTCCTTACACGAAAGGAGAAATGTACCTCTGTTCTTTAATTCCGAGAATGTATAAAATCTTCCTCTGTCCTGAATTCTACTCTGCTGACAAAGATAGATGACAAGCTGGACCCTTTCTACAATTGTCCTTGTAGTTCTAGCTGTTTCTTAAATAACATGACAAGGAATTTGAGTGTTTTGGCAAATACGTTTTCCCCATAAGTTGTTTGGAGTAAAAGTTATAGATGTCCATAATCCAAAATAAAGAAAGATGCAGGAAGACAGCCAGTAGTAGTAGATCATTTACCTTCTTCAAAGGAGGTAGTGATTTCGATGTTGAGTTAGAAGCCTTATTTTTCATTGAAGCTTCTATACTGTTTCATTTACTACCTCCTATAAGCAGTCTTCATATGTTTGCTTAATGATGGAAAATCAGGGCAGAAAGTTGTAAACATTAAACAGACTCAAAGCTCAACAAAGAGAAATGAATTTTAGATCAAGATTAATGCACTTTCTTGGGCAAGAAAAAAAAAACACAATTAGAGAATAAAAATTTATACAGTGCAGGTTCATGACCTAAATTAGCCTTTTAATCAGTTATAGCTGTCTGTAAGGGTAAATAAATACAACTCAGAAACAGTCTGGAAAGTTAGAGATAAAATACATAGAGGACCTGTTAATACAGATTTGACAGCAAGGACTATAAAGATTCTTCGAGAAAAGAAAAACTAAGCACGCCTACTTTACTTCCCCAGCTCTATCTGGCCTCTAGTTTGACCCATTTAGCAGGGGACAAGACTGCAAACATGGCACTGACAAGTTGCACTACTCTCCTCTATTTCCTACCGAAAGGTTGATCTCAAGCAGCACAGGCCTTTTCTTTTCCTTATCGCCACATTCTCTCTGTTTGCCCTTCCCACATCGTGTTTGATTTTACAATTATCAGTGAAGGCAAGTACAGGTGGAGAAATATGAATGAGACCAGATTTTATTATTCTTGTTATTTATGTTATATTATTGTTTTTACAACTCTTAACATAGAATGGGACCATATAAAGGTACAAGGAATCCATTATTTCTTACGATCCCCAGCTATTCTACAACTAGCTTAAAAAATGAAGTTTTAATGAAAAAATAATGAGCAGGTATACTAAAAGGAAAGGGGGGCAGTTCTCTCTATTCAATCAGATTAGGCATCATAATAAATTGGCTTTAATGAAACTTTACTGCTCTTCATGATTCTTTCAAAGTATTGAATATCATGTAACATAGCTCAGATATAACTAGCAATATTAAAAACAATGAAACAGTCATTGGCTCATAACAGACTTTATTAACTTAGGACATAAGCACAATAGGGGTTGAGTAGACCCTGCTTTCCTTCTTACATGGATTTAGATGGATTTAAATGTGTATTTAGATCTTTCTTAATTACACAGAAGTAAATTCAGTCTTTAAAAGAAAACTACGTTGGGATTATTTTGGAGAATTGGAAGCTGAACATTGACATGAACTTACTCTTCCAGGGGGTGTTGCTGGGAACTATTGGGAGCAAGCATAGAGTGAAAAGGGCAACACAAACCTGTTATCCAGTGAAAAGTGCTAGCATGACTACCCGTGTCCAAGGTGTTGAGGAACATGTGTATGAAGTATTTCTTTGAGCCCCTTGTTGGAGCTGTGGTTGCTAGATTGTTTTCTCAGATCCCCCATGCCTCTCTTACTGTCTTCTAACCAAATGGAGTTGAAGAGAAATGAGTAGTAAAAATGGAATCTTCATGAGGTGTGGTGGTGCACACCTTTAATTCCAGCACTTGGGAGGCAGAGGTAGGTGAATCTATCTGTGTTTTAGGCCATCCTGGTCTACAAAGCCAGTTCCAGAACAGCCAGTTACACAGAGAAACCCTATCTTGAAAAATAAAAAAAGTCTTCTTAATGTTCTATGATTTGCAAAACTTAACACATAACACATCAGAATACTTCATGGCAGAGTTTGAGATATAAACTGCGTAGAAGAATCCGGAGAGCAAGATGCTGCAGGTTATATAACTGCCCAGCTTCCATGTGATTGTGGCACCTGTCTTTTTAGAGTCAACAAAGTGATTAAGATATATGTGTGTCTATTTGTCATACACAGTGAT